TAACATTAGCCGTTCAGTAGTTATTCAAAATTCAAAATTTGGGGGCCCCCCTGCCCCCCCAGGGGGCTCAGATTTTTGGGGTCTATGTCTGAATCGAATGTCTATAGGGTAGAGATGAATCCCTGAAATTTTCATGCTTTCTTCCAGAAGTGCACGATTGTTATGCTTATCGGCCCCACTATAGAGTCTGTTCTTTTTCATGACTTGATTCAAGAATGAGATGTTTTTAAGAATGAAGGTAGTAGTAGTATGCATTTATTTTTGAGGTGGTTCCTGTCATTTAAATGAGAAGAAAAAAATGTGGACATAACATGTCCACAATTTGGACAATTTTGGACATATTCATGGTTGGACATTAAATCATGTGGACTTAATAAAGACTGGACTTAATGTTTAGTGGATATAAATAGCGGTGGACATTTATTTAATGGACGAAAAGTAGGTGGACATAAAGTCCTGGAAGCGATTTTACCGTAAAGAATAAGTCACAGAGATCAATCATATGATCAACGTATACAGCAAGCGTGTGTTCTTCGGACTGAGATAAGAGAAAACATACAAGAGAAGCATGGCAGATACTCGGAAGAGGTCCGATTCCTCCAGAAATCTACTCAAACCTTCGAAAATGTGAGTAGTCTTGCTAAATAACTGCGTGGAATATCTTTCTTATCTAAAATGTATTTCAATCGAGTTTTCGATAAGGACAGTTCAAAACTCTACTCTTTCAAATTTTCTCGAGGAGGCCCTCTCAAGTCCCCCTTTCAGACCTGAGGTAGTCCGCCTGATCTCCATTTTGAAGCTTAAGGAGTCCCCGGACCTCTCCTTAAAGTGTCTTTTTGTACCCTCAGACTCTCCTTGATAAGTTGCCTCTGGCCTTCACAAAACAATTTCGCAGATCTGATTTCGATGAGAGGTGATCGGTTATGATTTTGCCTCATTAGAGTCTTACATTTTTTATTTCATCGGCGCTTTTACCATCAGGATGATCGATTATATCGAGGCAGTCAAGTACCCTGACAGCATACACGAACCATCGCTTGTCATATTCCATCAAAGTTTTCAAATACTTTGCCATATACTGGTTTCGCGACAATTTCTGGTCCTCCATAGCCTTTTTGAGTTCATTGTGTCGATATATCTCTAAACCTTTAAGCTCAGCAACCAATGTGGCCAAAGTCTTGTGCTGGTGAATTGGTATTATGTCTTTCAACAAATTGTTGGTAGCTATGTCCTTAGACACTGGAATCACCTTGGAAAGACCACAAATAAATAAAATTATTCAAAATTAGTAATTTTACGTTCTCCACGTAAAACATTCAGTTTGTGGTAGGGATTGAATTGAGGAAAAATGAAGAGGCACAATGAGAAACTTTTCCAAATTGAAACCGGTCATTTAGGAACGTTAAGTCAAATTTTGATGACTAGATTTTAACTGGAATTTGTAAAAAAGAAAAAAATCTGCCAGGAAGATTACTGATGTGGTTGTGAGGCAAAATCAAGAGACATGATGGTAAAAAAGAAACTTAATGTCATCAGGCCTCTCGCCTTATCTTATAACTACATTAGGTCTTTCAAAAAAGAATCCATACATGCAGTGAAAGAATTTGAGATAACCTTAGTCGTAAGTATACTGGGTTTGGGGATATCATTTAAAGTAAACCCTGCATAATGGGAGATAAACATTGAAATAGCCTCGACCTCAAACGGATAGTATGATTTTCCTTTGATATTTTTATAGATATGATGGTATTGCTAAACTCTACTTGAGCGGGAACTGCATCAAGCATATGCAACATGATGTACAGGATTATTTGTAAACACGTAAGTAGCTATGGATTTTAATGGAGACTTAGATGGTTTTTTAGTGCTTCTTGTTACTGGGCTCTCCTATGCTTGTCGTGTCGTCCGATTGCATTTGCATCCCTATCTAACATACGAGTATAATTGGAAGGCTTGGAAGACAAGGCGCATAAGAGCAGTTTTTGCTTTCGAGAAATACGTGTTTGAAGTTTCGAAATTACATTGATCCTTATGGTGAAGTGCAAATTAAAACTGACATTTTGTTGCTTAAAAATTGGAATTTGGGAGCGAATTTTTCACAGAGTATGGATCAAAACTAGTTTTACTTAAAATTATTAATACCTTCATTTTTTCAAAAACAACACTTATGCGCCCAGTCCTCCAAGCCCTTCAATTATGTTGTTAGTCTTATCCTTCCGTACATATCGACGGTGTAAGCCGGCAATCACATAACTCGGTTTGCGACGTCACGTCGTAGACTTCCTGTCATACTTTATTTTTTAAATAAAAAACCATTCAACGGCAATGCTTAAAAACTGCCGTGTTTTTTCTTCTCTGTACGAAGAAAATTCTGCATAAACTTCAAGGGATGATATCAATTTGTTCTCTTTTAAAGGAATAACATGAAGGCCGAAATTTTCAGACACCGCAAACGAGTTATGTGATTGCCGACTTACTCCTTCAATATGTCAATGTAAACGTGATTTGTTTGCTGAATCCAAATTCCATGCTACTTGACTTTCCTCATTTTTTTCTCTCTAAAAAACTTTTGGCAGTTATTACTGTGCACAAGGGACATTCATACTAGAGTCCCTTTATACTCAGAGTTAAGACAACTCGATTATCAGCTGACTGGCAGCCGGCCTTGGCTGGCCATGAAGGCCGAAACGAGTGCACCCAAAGGAACGATATCGAGGGATAAGGATCAGGAAACCTGCGATGTCTGTCACACGAAAACAACAACATCAACAAATTGATCAATCAAAAAGAAAATGAGATATTGGTTTGTGAATAATTTCTTCATCTATTTTCATTTTGGACCAATGGAAATAACAATTCACTCTTGATAAACCACAATTAGGTAATATTTTCATTATTCTTGTTCACATTCGAGGTACCGCCATCTTGGTGCACTCGTTTCGGCCTCCATTAGCGAGAACTAATCAGAATTGGATTTTTTTTTAGGCCACTTTCAGCCCAACCAAAAGGTAGCTAAAAGTGAGTTGTCTTAACTCTGGGTATAAAGGGACTCTAATTCATACTTACTCCAGCGAAAGCACAGGCAACAAAAGTTGTGACGAGAACAATGCTCATCATTTTAATTCTTTTTTTCCACGGGATTCACAATTCTGCAGCCCAGCAAATTAAACTAACAGATTAACAATGTAAACAAATAAACTTTCATACGTCGTTTTTTGGTGCCTACTAACCTATTATAAAAATAAGGAAGCGGCTCGGTACAGTCCATCTTATCAGTGGAGTCTACATCTGATATACAGGGTATCCGGAAGTTAACGTGCTTAATTTTCAGGATCGATTTTTCGGCTCAAAATATGACTATTTTTCCCTGTAGACATATGCCCGAAAACGCTTCGCAAGTGAGCTATGCGCTTCCAATGTTGCCATTTTTTTCTTTCAAATTGATGTAACTCCTCGTTATTTTGTCGTAAGTAGCTGAAACTTGGAGTAGGGGGTATTTTTTAGCGCACGGTTCATTTTTCGTGTTTTCGAGGACGTACGTCTTCAAGAAATGACGTAAAGAGCATTCACGAATTTTAAAATTGCGATAACTTTTTTGGTAGATGATAATTGGCAAAACGGATTACACCACGTGAAAGAGCGCAAAAAATCAGGGCCTGAAATTACTGCACAAAATTTTCCAGAAACGCGTCATTTCGACGCAACACAGCTTCGAAAAAGTTTCGGATTTTCAAAGCTCCTTGCTGAGTAGGCAATTTTTACTGCAGGGACTGTAAGAAAATTCCCTACGGAGCAAGGGGCTTCAAAACTCTGAAGGGTGAATCCGTCGCGATAGCTTTGGGATTTTATACGTCAGAAAAATACGATGCAACAGGCAGTACTAATGACAAATCCATGTTGGAGAACTTGTAAACAAGCAATAGCCATCGGTCTAGTTCTCTCATTTTTTCTCCTTCGGTTGTTATCAATTTCTGATTTTATCGAAGTCGTATCATTCACACCATCTGTGACCCAGCAATGATTTGGAAACGTCGAGAAAACAAATGAGTTTTAATGCAATTGGGAATGTATTGCTGATGGTTTTTTATGTTCTCTTTTCTCCTCTTACCTTATGGATGGATGGAAAGTGTGTCTGACCTTCACATTGAAGTACTGTACGAAAAAGGTGCAAAATACAAGGTCGCAAAACTATTTAATCGAATTTCACTAAATCAAAGCATATACAAAAAATACTCTTTGTAAACAAGAAGTCGGTCGTATCTGACTATATACTGGACTTGGTGTTACTCAGAGTTCTCTTTCACTAAATTTGAACGTGTTTGATGCTGCAGAATACTATTTCATCCTTTAAAAAATTATGATATGAACTTGTGGCGTTTGGGTGTAGCAGAACGACAGAGCGCGTTGAAAGAGTGACTTTTATGTATGTAAAGGAATAAAATTTATCTTGAAAACCTTTTCATTGTCCTCTCGCAAACAACAACTGTCTTAGAGCTCAGCCTTAGACTGTCTTTACTTTTATACCTAACACTCCCGTGGATGCTTATTTTATCCTCAATCCTGTAATGGTTTGGTAATCTGTTCTAGAATGATGTGTACTAATTCATCTTGATAATCGTGGAGTATGAAAAATGAATTATGACAAATAAATGATATTGAATGAAAAGATATAAATTGAATGCATTTTACAAAAAAAAATCAAAATTATTTATTTTTAGTTTGACCCTGGAAGTTAATTATTAACATTTTTTTCGAATTCTTTTATGTGTGTGTATTTTTGCGCCTATTTTTGGCGCGTATACGTAGTATACCGCCTTTGCGATCGTTTCGACCCCCCCCCTCGATACAATAACCGAGTCCCCTAGTTCCTTACCGAAAAGTGACTACCGCGAACTTCTGAGATTTTCCAAAGCGTGTAAAAAGTTTACTAATCCGTCAATAATAATGATTAAAATTTGTTTCTCATTCTGGGGCTCGCTAGTTTATGTGTAATGAATACCAAGAGTCTACGTTTCTTGGTTTTTTTTAAAAAAACCTTAGAATGGGGCGCGCTGATTTAAAATATGCATATATAAGCGGAAGCAAGCGAACTGATTCGAGGATGGCTGACCAGTTCGGCACTCCTTGAATGAGAATTTCACTCACTCCGTTTTGTTCACAACGTTGCTTTGACATATCTCCACAACACTGTTATCCTTTTCAAAAGTTGGTACTCCTTGCTCTGATAGCCGGGGCCACCAGGATAGTGGTAAGTGCAATCTGTGATGAGCCTCGAGACTCATTAGACCATTTGCTAAACGTGGCTCATACAGGAGTCCACTAAGCCCTCTCGTCCCCACGCTCCTGATCACTGCGTCGGCGTCACGAAGAACAATGGGCCTTGGGTCCCAACGCGGCCGATACCCGTACCCCAATTACTCACGCTTCATTAACCATTTCACCGTCACGCTAGGATTCATCCAATTTTCAAAAAAAATTGTTTCGCATGTATTTAGCAATTTTTTCCTTACTCTCCGTTAAAACACAAATAAAAAGAGACCTCATTCATAAAAATCGGCCGAATAGAAGAGAAGTTACAGTAATCGAAATCCGAAGAAATCAACAAAACCTCGACTCCTCGATACGAAAAATAAAATGAAGGGGAAAAAAAGAAAGTATAAATTACAATTAAATATAATTGACCTCAAAATTTGACAAACAATTCATTTATATACCTAACGCTGAAAAAACTGGGAGAAATTACAAAAAATTTGCCTCTTGCAAGGGGCTTCTTTGTAAGAATTTTGACCTGAAGACAACGGTCGAATAACAGCAGTACTCCATACAATACACGGTGTGCCTGAACGAGTTAAACATTTTTCATACGTCCAAATCGAAAAATCTTTATATTTTTAACTACAATGTTTCTTGAATCGTTTAAGCAAAAAAAAAAAAAAAAAAAATTCCGTCGAGATTCTGGAACGCAAAGGCGCTTTAAAAGTATTCTGGGGCTATAATAGCTAAATCACCGGTAGTAAATTCGTTATATTATTAAAAAGAAATTGACTCCATAGTTTAATTCCTTAGTTTCTTGAATACGATTATTTTAAGCACTTAAACATTTATACCACCAATTTTAGCCATGGGGTGATTTCCTGAGAGCCGATAATATCACGAATTTCTCATAGAACCCCTCAACAGTGGCTTGCTTTTTTGGCAGCCGATTCGGCCATCGAACCGGAGTTTAAATGGAAGCTGATAATAACCCAAAGCTCTGAGAAAAATTTTGAGATGAGTATAAGAACGGTTTGTTGTAAGTAGCGAGGAGAGGCGGGCAAAGCGGCTAAAATCCTATCTAATTTTTACAGTTTTTCTGTTGAATTAATGTTGCCGCGGGCTTCTGACTGTCCACACATAGTTCTGTTCAGCATATCGATACATAAGTATTTACATTTTACATACGTAGAATCTAATTTTCACGTCGGGGAGTTGACATATTTTGATTTTTTCGATTTTATACGGAAAATTGATGGTTTTTCGGGATTGAAATTATTATTGTTTCATGAAAAATAAATGCACCCAAAATGACTATAGCATATTGATTCTTACACATTTGCACTCACAAAATTGGTTGGTAAATTCAACGAGTGGGTGCATCGACCTGGTATATCAAGTTTCTGCAATTTTTTACGGCAAATCAGTAGATTTTCGGGATGTAGATTGCTTACTTTCAATTCATGAATGAATAAAGCAACGACATGGTTGAACTTCTTTGCATGGAAAGACGTTTAAAATAACAAAATCAAGACGTATTTAATGCAATTGCATTTATATCGAGTCAATTTCTTTTCAATAATATAACGGGATTTTTACTACCGGTGATTTGGGTATTTTAGCCCCAAAATACCTTTAAATCGACTTTATCTTCTAGGAGTTCGACAGAATTTTTCCTTTCTTCGCTTAAATTATTCCGTAGCACTTTTCTTCAAGAATCTGATAAGATTTTGCTTGAGGCAGATCAAAAAACTTAAATTCGATCGAATAGCTTTCTACTTTCACAATACACGGTCTCGTCAAGGTGCGTCTTTGACCTCGCAGTGTTGGATCGTGAATTCTCTTTTTATGCTGTTTGCCTATTTTGAAATCTCTGTAAATGAAAACTAAAGGGGTTGATATGTGCGAGTTAATGACGCGCCTTATCAACACATTGTGTTGGAGTTCACTGCTTGTTTTATTTTGAATAACAAAAAAGTGCTTCTATAATCTTCGCTGTATCATTATCCACTCCTACTTCTCCTTCTGTTATATGCGACATATCCTTAATATGTTTTGGCAACGAAGAACAGTTGAATTTAGAGCGAAAATGTCCTCCAATCGCTTCAATTTTCTCTAGAGAGCTTTTAAATAAAGTTTGCAAGTGATCTATTTGACCGGTCACGCTTATATTGGGTGGGGAGAGCCTTTCACCCTTCGACTTTATTAATTCATTAAGTAGGCTTGACCGCTGCTTGGACCTTTTGATAGTCTCCATAGCCTGAAACAGAGTTGCGATTTTTAAATTCACGGCAGAAGATTCCAAATATACAGGAGGGAAAAAATACAAGTTCCCTAAGAGATGAAAACATATTTAAAAAGTTGTGCGTTTTCTGAAGAGAGTATTTAGGCTAAAGTTGTATTTTTGCGTGGATATTTCTGTAGATTTCACACTTATTTCCCTCTCAATAGGAAGATCCACTCTTATAATAAGCAACCGTTGTTCATACTAAGCCAATTCATTATATAGTATGACTGCTTGGTATCAATGAGGAGCAGGTTTTATAGACGGGGGCTTTCATATCAATTTATAACTAATTGCTGTTCGATGGTTGAGGCTCATAGATTAGTAAAGAATAATTGTATCTACTATGATGCTGAATCTCTGTAATTACATTTTTGTGGAAGTTATACATGTTTGGCTATTACTATAGTCTGGCACTTTTATGATGAAAAAACGATATCCTGATGCAAGTAGCAGATCAGTTTTATGAAATTTTTCATTGAAGTAGTAAAATGTATTAATGTATGCAAATTTTACCTCGTGTGCGGCCCCCGAGTTCTCGTCGGAATGGAGCAATGTATTCATTGCATCGTGGTAACGGTAATATTCCTCAAAAAGGGAGTCTATAAACGACAAGATGGATAGAAATTCGATCATACTAGGCTCCCTCATGAAATTTCGGTCTCCAAGAGCCCCATTCAATGCTACTTGCCGATCCTTTCTTAAAAGTTCAAGCTCTTTCAATAGTTGAATCACGATTTCCGCTATTTCTGTTGCGCTAATTGCCCATGGGATTGCCTGTGGACGAAATGAAAAGACATTCTGGATTTTTTCTTCATTTCAGAGGAAGCTAATTACTCGAATCGAATATGTTTTAATAGATGAGCATGTGATGATTTATGAAGTCAATAAAGAAATGTTTTATTTAAACAACAACGGTTACTTGGGGCTGGCTTGATTAGGGACTGAGGGAGGATGAGACTTCAAGGACTATAAGCGTAAGATTATTCTGTCAGGGATATTAGAAGTGAAAAAAATCTTCAAATGGAGGTTCGCCTTCAATTTTGCCGCGTATGCAACAAACGCACCGGGGAGCGCGAAGAGTTTGCAATGCGAAAAACCCATATTAAGTTCAATTCGTAAATTTTGCTTAACTAATCTCCAATACACCACGCACAATCTTATTAACTTAAGTTCGCCTTCGATTTCGCCGCATAGGCAACAAACATACCTAAGAGTAAGAATAGTTATCAATGCGAATAACACATTATTATATTGTTCTGTGAGATCTGATTTAAATGAGAAATAACGATGTCAACCTATGCGGTGGATATAGCTCTTGATATTTTGCCGTACATTTTAACTAATTTCTGGCATCACGTGTATTTTTTTAAAGTTCTGTTCTATATTTCAAAGTGATATATAATCACTCAAAGCAACAAAATCGTAATCGGGGGAGGGGGTGGGGGCAAAAATCGTATTATGAAGTAATTGTATTAATTTTTTAGCATCAATTTATTGAATTTTTGGAGTTAATGTGCAGTTCATAATCACGTATCACCTATCAGTGTACTCTACTTACCCATTTAGCAACACTGGCAAGAGTAGACGCGGCAGAACTTATCACTGCGAAAATCATTTTGCGGACTCTCGAATATTCACTTAACTCAAGCTGTGAGCTGTTCCCACTGAATCTAAATAATATACCTCAATAATTCAATATCCACCCACAACTCACCGGAATTCGCCACTTTCTTATCATATACTGACGGTTATCAGTAGAGCGACAATTGATTATTATCACAATCATACTGATTAAAACGGCAAAAATGTAATCGGCTCAAGATGAGCAACGAATGCTGAAGTGTCATTTACAGTTAGAATTGTCAGAAATCAATATGCAGACTTAGAGTGCCTTTAAAAGTTTTTACAAGCCCACACCAGAAATCACGTTATTTTCAAATTTTGAGACCTGGTTTTCCAGATCGTTTTATTCACTAGGATTGTCCGTTCTTCCGACATTTAATTGTGACGGGATATCTTCATCCACACATCCACATCAAGATAGATGGTCATTCAAATTCACAGCTGGGGAGTTTGTCGGACTGATTTCCCATGTTTCGAAATTTTGTGCGTGAAAAATAGATAGCCTCGAACAAACCAATCATCCACAAGAATAGAAGAATCCTATACATTGCTCATCAGTGACGAGGTTTGAATGATCGATCATCAATATTTCCCCACTTGAGGAGTTTGGAGACAAGGCGCATAAGTGCAGTTTTTTGAAAAATTGAGGTATTAATGATTTCAAGTGAAACTAGACTTAATGCATATTATGTGAAAAATTCGCTCCCAAATTCCACATTTTTAAGCATCAAAAAGTCAGTTTGAAATTTCTTTCTGCCATCAGGATTCATGTAATTACGAAACTTCAAACACATATTTTAAATAATAATAGCAAAAACTGCACTTGCGCCTTGTCCTCCTAGTCCCTGATTCGAAGCTGTGGTAAAGAATCGATAATTAAGGTATTCTTTGCGAACAGCCTGTCTATCGATCCTTTTCCATAGGTTTCGATGACAGATCAATCGTTATATCGCAAATTACGCTGCGAGCTCATAGTGGGTTCCAGTCTGTTGTACCTACTTTTCTGGTCGCAATGGGTCAGTTGCGCTGGTCACAGAATTGTGTTCTACACACTAGGGTTTTAGGCACTCCTATTGAACTTACATTATTCAAATGATGGCACCTCATGGGCGTGCATTACATCCTTATCAGTTAGTTCCAGTTTTCATTGAGTCGGTTCTCGATTATCCGGCTGATAAAAAGATGAGAAAACTCACACGTTTGAACGAAGGAGCAATCCCAAAAATTAACTGTATACGACAGTATGTGACAGTATATGTGTGTTAACTGCATTAGACTGTATGTGACAGTTAAACAATATACACTTTACGAACTTTTCGTATGATCGCGACAAGATACAAAATACTTTTCCGAAGATATTAGAATAAGAATGTCTAGGAAAACAGAGTGTACCAAAAAATCACGACTGCGAGCACGGTCAGAAATTCATGTCCGCTATTTTTTGTTGAACTTAACTACAACACGATAGAGAATATTTTTTTTATAGATACATAGTCCTCATCAAATAAGTTTACGTACTTTTAGAGGGTGGCAGAATATAACCAGTCTTCAGTTCAGCATTGAAATTACAGAATTTGAACATTGAAGAATTAAGATACCGGATTGTCTGTAGCATGCTAGAGGTATGTAAAATTAGTTGGTAGTGATTTGGCAGATTTATTAAAAAGTGTAAGTAAGTATACCACTGAAGTAAGCGGTAGTAGTATATGAGATTTAATGGCTTCAAAGCAACTATTGGCTGCAAGACTCCAGAAAATGGGTTTCAAAATTTATATTATTTGTATATATTTTTTATATAGGTACAGTATAAACAGCAATCATTGTGAAGTGCGAGGTCACTCACAATCAGTTTCAAGGCATAGATCTATTAATGTACCAATTGTCTTTACACGGCATGTTCAACAAATGATATGCTATTCGTATGTAGGTAACTACTAAAATTAATTTTAGGTTTTTTTACAGCTTGGAGGCTAGTTTTAACTTTTTGGCATGGGAACGGAGTTCCCCTGTCTTTACAATCGTTCTGTTGCTATCGCTATGGGATTCCCTATGCCTCTGCGACCTTGAGCGTTTCGCCCAGTCTTCGATTTTTGGTTGATTTTCCGATGTATCAAAAACCGTTGTATTTTTTAGCCAATCATGTCTCTACGTCAAGTTGTGTTGATTTCTAAAATTCGCTTTCAGCGAGTTTTTTTCACCTTGAGATGTCGTGTCTGACTGGTAAATCTGCGCAGAACCACGAAGTTGGGGTTTTGGGCAAATTCTTTTTTTTGGGAGGTTCTGATTGGTTATTTTTCGCCATCAGTTTTCTGTTCGTTGGTGCAAAAGATCGCCTACCTCGGTGCTCTTGAGAAGCCGCCATTATCCCACCTCAAATTTTACAAATAGAAATAAAGACATAATAACCATCGTACAAGGTGGAAAATTGCTCTGGAGGACTCGTTATGGACAAATAAGTCAAAATCAGACCTCGATTGATTGATTTAATTCATGGATACGCAAATATTGCCTTAGCTCAACTGCCGCGATCGCGAATGCATCCTGGGATGAACCTCGAGACGCATTAAAACAGTGCGAACCATGGCTCCTACAGTAATGCGCTTAGCTCATTTCTCTCATATCCTAGAAAAACAGAAGCTACGAAGCGTCTCAAGGACAACTCTTGTGATAAGTCCCGCCCATCGTCCGAGTCTTTTCTATGCTATTTTTACTCACTCACTCGCCGATCCGTTATAGCGTAGTTGACTAAACCGCCTCATAGTTTTGATTAGGTGCAGGCAATAGGCGATCGGGAGTTCGATACCCGACGATAGCAGTTAGTTTTTAATGGTTGTATTGAATGTTTTAGACTAATCATCAACTAATAATTGATACTAGATGATAAACGTACGAACATTTTCTCGTAAGTTAATATGTTAAACAAATATACTGGAATATACCTCCTTCTTATAATCAGCCACATGTTCACCCAAATTAATGACGTTATTTTCTTTTTTCAATAAAGTTAATTTGCATTCAACGTTCGTAAGTTAAGCAAAAAGTATCTATTGATACAAATAGAAAGACATGAAAATAGTATGTCTAACATTTCAGTTGTTTTTTTTTATTTATTTTTTAGTTTTTGTTTTTGTTTTTTCAATAAAACAAATTGACTTGGACTAGAATCATTGTATCTCTGAAAGCAAAAGCTAAGTTTTTTGATACAGAAATACTAATATATTCATCCTTCATATAATCAGGGAGATGTTGACCCAAATATTGATGTATATTTTCTCTGTTCGCCCAAATTAATGATGGTATTTTCTTTTTTCAATAAAATTAATTTACATTCCACGTTCTTAAAGCAATATTTTCTCCAAAATTCAGCAAAAAATAACAATTTATACCTACGCAAAAAAAATAAATAAATAAAGAAATAAAGCAATGACATGAAAGTAGTATAGTACACATCCAACATTTCAGTTACATCTATTTGAATGAAAAAATGGCAACTTAGGAAGCACATAGGTCACTTATGATGCGTATTCGGGCGTATGAGTAGAGTAAAATTATCATACTTTACGCCGAAAAAGCGAAACTAAAAGTTAAATGCGTTAACTTCCGGAAACCATATATAATCCAACGAAAATAAATAATTGGTAAATAACAGCTTTCTTGTATGCAAAGAAAAAAATTAAAAATGTTAAAAAAGAGATGTCGACACAAAATTACATAGCCCCTTCAATTCTGAAGATACTACAAACGAACTGTACCTTAAAATTTTCATATCCCAGAAGCAAAAGTTCCCATGACGAATATTGCTATCGCTAGCGATTGCAAAAACCAACTTGTTATAATTTTAAGACATTCAGCGACTCAGGCTATTAACGTCTTTACAGATAATTTTGAAAATAGGAGTATAAACGAAAATTTAGATTTTTAAATTAAGAGAGGTGAAGAGTTTTAGAATTTTGGTGGTAATATTAGGTTCATCGCATGTAAGAGGGTTTGTATTTCTGTTGATTGTAGGGGAGTAGATCTGTGATTGGAGATATCGGAGGGAAGAGCAGTCCATAAGTATGTGTTTGATGGTTAGAGGTGATGAATTGCAGAAGTGGCAGATGGGTTGGTTTTCTTTAGATATGATATGATTGTGAGTGAAAAAAGTGTGACCTATCCTGAGCCGCGCAATTTGGACTTCACATGATCTTGATTTGTGGTTAGATGTTCTTGGATATAGCATGGGGGCTCTACGGAGACGATTCTGTTCACTTGTGCTCCATTCTTGTTCCCACGATTTTGTGATAAGTTCGCACATAGCTTTTTTAGCATCTTGCTGAGTGAATGGATGGTGAGTGATGTTCTGCATAGAGCATGCTTCAGTGGCTGCTCTGTCCGCTGTTTCGTTTCCCAGAATTCCTATATGAGCCAGTACCCAGATAAAAGAGGTGGAGTGGCCATTGGCCAATAAGGAATGAACAGTATCATGGATTAACATTGAAAAGGGATGATTAGTAGGGTTGTATTTCAAGGTGCGGAGTGAGGAAAGAGAGTCAGAGCATATGACGTAATTAATGGTATCATTGTTACAGGAACTAAGTTCTTGTACATATCTAATTGCTTCGAGAATAGCCAGCATCTCAGCTGTGAATACTCCTTTATTAGAAGTAGCATACATATATGAATGAAAGAGCTTTTACGGTACACGTACCTAGGTACTAATGATCTCTCTCCCTTAGACGGTCACAATTGGACGCACTCATGTGATGAAAGTCACCTGAACTAAAATTTGAATTAGATGCTTATTTTTAAAGACGTGCCTACATTTTATTACACCAAATTTTCACCGGTCAAAATGCTCTAAGATTTTTCGTCAATGGACCACTAGACTAGGTACGAATTTCAGCATTCTGATACATGTTTCTAAACCAAAATTCCACGTAAAATACGATGCGCATAGCAAAAGTTACCGAAATCAACTCCTTACGAAGATATTTAATGATTCATGATGCGTGAATTCAAACCACCCGCTCATGAAAACTCAATGCTCTACGTGATTCACAGTGCGCGCTAAACGTTCATCATGATAGTCTTTGCGATATAAAAATCTGGAAACCTCAATCTTGACGGTTTGGCTCAGCTATCTTGTGGTTTGAACAACATATGATGGGAAATGAACATTGCTCGATGAAGAAGCTTGCTGAAACCGTTGTACTCGTTGACTCGAGTAGAGCTTTGAGTTTCTTGTGAGCGGGCAATTCAAATTCCTCGTAACCAATGTGAAATAAAAACGTTGAAATCTTCGTTAGGAGTTAGTTTCATTAATATTCGTTGCGCTAATCGTGTTCTACGTGAAATTCTGGTTAAGAAACATGTATCAGATTGCTTAAATTCGTACCTTGTCTAGTGGTCCATTCTGGGGAATTATTTTTTATTTTTTTCGTATTATTTTAAATCAGGTTTTACGTACGTATACTTCATGTAAAACTTTACTAGAATCTAAATGTTCAAAAAACTTGGGCCTGCTAATTTTATCTCTGAAAAATGCGAGAAAAAGGGAAAATAATCACTTTTTCTAAGACTATTGAAATTTTTCATGGTCATTATTTGAAGGTGCTTACGTTATCACATTAATTTATTCAATTATTTATAGAAAATGTAACAAAACAAATGATTCTTTCGAAGTTACAAAACATTATAATGGTTTAATGTCCTTGAGGTACTTTTTGTACGGAGAATTTTCAGTCATGTCTCGAAGGTCCTTCTCGATCGCTAAACATTCTGCTGCTGTGGCGTCAAACGCAGCTTTCAGCAAGTGCAGTTCACTTTCTTGAGGTACATTGGTAGCAGGTTTAAAGGCTTTTCCACGCTCTTGAACGGTGTCTTTAATGTGGATCAATTTTTCTCTCAGTTTGCTAATAGTCGCGACAGTCTGCAAAAGTTGAACATGTTATTATCATACGTTCAAATTAAAATAAATACTTGTTACGCATAAATCAGTTAAGTGTAAGCAAGTTTGACGCTTAATTTTTGGCCGATACTAAGCAATTGTGGAATAATTACTGCATGCAACTATTCGTACTCTCAAGCCGATTATATTGCCATCCCGGGTATCGAAGGCGAACTTGACGTAACAAGAGACACGCAGTGAGGAGAGTAATGCGCGTTTAGCAGAAAGGAACCAAGCCACATCAGCTGTTGTCAAATTTAACTGGGCAATTTGATTTTTTATACGAGAACTTATGTGCTGATTCCTTTCAAAATTTTAAGGGGTTTGCTTCGTACTTTGCAAAAAATTCACTGAATTTTTCCAAAAAACCCGAATAACCGTTTTCTAGTAAAATATTAAATTACCCGATTAAATTTGACCTGATAAATACCTGACGTGGCTTAGTTCTCTTCTGCTTAACGCAGTCCATTTGATTGTCTTAATACTTCTTAAAAAGTAGCGTCCAGCAGTTTTTTAGCAGAAAGGCGTATCCAGCAACATTTTTAAATTTTTCACCTCTTGTCAAATTTCTCCGATCCCACACGTGTTTCCGCAACCGAGACTTGTATAACATGTAGTCTTTTAGTGATTTTGTCGATATGGGTAAATTTCAAAATATACGACCAAAATATCAATTCAGAGGGAAAAACTCATTTGACGTACCAAGTTGACATAACAAAAGATACGCAAGAAGGAGAGTAATTGGACCGCGTTTAGCAGAGAGGAACCAAGTCACATTAGCTGTTGTCAAATTAAACCAGGTAATTTAATTTTTTACATGAGAACGTTTGTGCTGATTCCCATGAAAATTTCAAGGAATTTGCTTCGTACTATGCAAAACATTCACTGAAATTTACACAAAAATCCGAACAACCGTTTTAATGTATATTCACGTAAACTAAATTTCATTTTACCTGTTTTGCATCCAATGAGTTTTCGTCAGAGTGAATGAGTCTATTGATAGATTGATAATATTTTCGTGCTTTAATTAGGTAAGAATCAATTTGGCTCAGAAGTTGAAAGCTTGCAATCAGAGGGGCGTTTTCCTTGTATTTAGGGTTTTCCAGAGCGTTGGCTAGAATCTCCCGTCGCCAAAGTTCTATGCCTTTGAGCCCATTTACAAGATGCCCGAAACTTCTTTCAATAACCTTTGGTTCAACTTTAGGAACTGTTTTTGGAATGACATGCGGAGTATCCTGCGGAATTGCCTGCAAAAAAAAGTTACATAAATGTTCATCAACAGCGATTAGCCCTATTTTCACCATATGAAGCATTTGTGTATAAGCCTTGTGCACGCGAACAAAATTCGAGGATTTTTGGGCGAACTTGTTCCCGAAACTTACTGTAACTCTGCTATAACTTAATTTGCAAAACCCCAGTTCGTTGAACTAATTCGCCCAAAAGTTCCGAGAACTAGGCTCGTGTGGACGCGGCCAAAGATTTCACTCAGTATCCGAGAATACTAACTCAAAAACGATACTGTAAAATAGAGGCTTGGAGGACAAGTCAGATGTGGAGTTCTTACAAAATCGAGTCGTTAGTGACGTAAAACAAAACTAGGTTTAAATGAACTGTGTTTAGAAGAAAGGAACCAAGCCACTTAGCCACATCATATAATGCTAAATTTGACGGGGCATGTATTTTTTTACAAGGGGCCGTCCGTGCAAATCCTTTGAAAATTTTGAGGAATTTGCTTCTTGCTATGCAGAAAATTCACTGAAATTTGCCCAAAACTCCGCACAACCGTTTTCATGTAAAAAATTAAATCGTCCAATTTTTTGCAATAGCTGGTGTGACTTGGTCCTTTCTGCTTAACGCGGTTCAAATTGAAAAAAAACTTTTTATAAAATTCAATTTATTAGCATCAAAAAGTTATTTTAGAATTTCTGCCCGTCACGAGGCTCCTTGTGATTTTGAGACTTCAAACATGTACTTTTTGAAGAAGCAAAAACTACACCTACTCACATTGTCCTACAAGCACTTGAATTGTCTTAAATCATAATCTGATTGATGCGCTTCTAATTATTTTTAAAATAAGCAACGGTCTAAATATTTCTAAATAAGATTCAATACTTAAGTTCTAATCGAAATGAAAAAGCAAAATTTCTTATTTAAGTTTTCGTAAATTCGTGTATAAGATTCTCTTTCCGGAATTTTTTTGAAAAAAAAAACGCAAAATTACTCGCACATCACATTTATGAACAATAAGTAACATACCTTCGCCTCTGCAAAAGCAAAAACTAACGCAACAGAGAGCAGCAATGATAAATCCATGGTGCAAAGAATTCACGTTCGAACAATAACAGTACCCCTAGGTGAAGTCTCCCTCTTTCTTCTCAGATGCCCATTATCAATGTTTATGATCTCCATATATTTTTGTCATTAACACTATCAGTGAGTGAGTAATTTGTTGAGAAATTTACAGAAGCAAATAAGAATGCAATGCCCATTGAGTTATACCGATTATTTTCAATTTACAGATGCTTTTGTGAAAAATGTGTTCTTGAGTGAGAGTTTGACCTTCGCATTCAAGTGTTGCATGTTAAACGTTCCAAATATGGGTCACAATGAGCCAATATCAAATGGTCTACGCATTGTTACTAGGAACTTCTATTTTTGACTCATCTCAGGGACAACATATCCTCAGTGAAACTTCCGAAACACGTATCCCGTTTGCGGTGTTTTAGAATCTCCGCTCCCATTTTATTTGTCGAAGGAGAACAAACTAAAAATGTTTCTTGAGATTTGTACAGATTATCATATACCGAGGTACGTGGTTTGGTAGTTTCACCGACGATACGCATACATAAAGCCGCTTTTGTAGCGCTCTTTGGCGCTCTGCGACGCCTAACCGCCACAAAAATCGGTCCTCCCACAACCCATCAGGGAGTTGGCTCTCCCTCATTTCCCGTAAAACTCCCTGTCACCACCCTTTTACTGGGCGTCCCCTTCGTCTCCTCCAGGGATAAACCCAATGAAGCATTTTCTTTGGCAGCCTTTCTTACGTCATCCTGTTAATTACCATTCTAGAAAAGCTGTTTAGTCATGACGTCGAATACGATGTCATTTTCGACTCCCATGATCTGACACACTCTTTTGTCGCGGACCAAATCTCTTCTAGAAATTCCTGCTAACCTACTCCAGAAATCCATCTCCGTTGCTCTCAGCATTTCACCGACGATATGTGCTTTTAATTTCCTGATGGAGATTATGCTTTCGTGGGTGCGCCAGAAATTATAGTTCCCAGTCGCAAAATATAGTCCGAATGGACGTATATTTCTGCCAAACGGAGCTATGTGTATTATGACGTGAGCCCTGGCATGCATTGATTCTTATGGGTCTCAGAGCTCATGTCTTAATGCACACAGTTCCGTTTAGCGGAATCGCGTCCAAATATGCCCCAACTCAAGATGTTCTTCAGGGAAAAGCTGCGCCATCGATCTCTTCATGCAAATCGACGGTGTAAGTCGGCAATCACATATCTTGTTTGCGGTGTCTTAAAATCTCCGCCACTAAGTTACTTTTTAAAGGAGAACAAATTAACATCAATTCTTGAAGCTTTCGCAGAATTTTCTTCGCACAGAGAAGAAAATTCGGCAGTTTTAAAGAATTGTCGTCGAGTAGTTTTCCGTTTAAAAGATAAAGTATGACAGGAAGTCTGCGACGTCTCAAACAGAGTTGTGTGATTGCCGACTTGGGAATTACAGTAAGTTGTCTCATTGCGCTCTAAGTTCCATGGAGTAGCTTCTATGGATTAAGACCTACTTGACAGGGTGGACCGTCTTTTAGACATGTTTTACTATTTTTCTATTTTTTAGGTCTTCCTATTTCTCGAATGAGTGCCCATTTCAGATCTCCCCATTCTCTTAAATCAAAATTTAGTTGGAAACGTGTTATTTGACATCCACAGCCTAGTGCATATTCGAGCACTAAACTTAATATTATACTCTTCAAAAACGCAAATTTTGTTTTTTAAAAAACTTAATTTCCACCGTCACTGAAGACAGCAAAAAACCGTATGTTTCGTGCTTTAAATTTTCTGAAGATTTTCTCAATCCTTGTATACCTCGATCTAAGTCTCCTTCGGCTTCGGAACTTTGGATCATCTCTACACTTGTGACTATATTGCTTGTGTGTTGTTCATACCGTATGTTTACTATGCGTGACATATTTTTTGCGGATGAGGACGAGTAAAAAAATATTTTTATACACAAAAAATTTACCCATGAAAAGAAGCAATCATTGAAAAATTTAGAGTTAAATATCGGGGTAGGTAGATATTTATTGGCGCGTATACGTAGTATACCGCCTTTGCGATCGTTTCGAACCCTACTCGATACAATAACCGAGTCCCTTAGTTCCTTACCGAAAAGTGACTACCGCGAACTTCTGAGATTTTCCAAAGCGTGTAAAAAGTTTATTTATCCATCAATAATTATGATTTAAAGTTGTTTCTCATTCTGGGG